GTAGTTCTTTAACTGAAATCGTTCAAAAAAATGTAAGCACAGGGGTGATAATCTTGATGAAAAATGAAAACGACTTGATGAAACTTATGTTGATGAAGGAAACGTTGTAGTATTACTGTTGAGTGACAAAAAGGTTTTTCTACCCTTCATAGACATCAAAGAAAAACGCCTTCTCAATTTTTTGATATGATCAAAAAAGTACATTTTAAAATTAAATGCTTCAAGGGAGGTTCAAAAATCAGAATCATCCTAACCACTAGTTTGATTGGAAAAAAAATGAGTTTAAAAACGAATTGAATGAATTTATGATGAAGATAGTGCAAAAAAAGCAGTCAAATTACCGCAGTTTTTTGTTTGATTGAAAAATAATTATCGAATGCACCCTCCAAATGTCTCAAAAACTGATGATTTCAACCAAAAGGCGCAGATTTTTTTGGCAAAAGTCATGACAAAAAGTTGCTGCGACACCTAGCAATGCATGTTTGCTACATATGATGGCTTCACACACACCGGCTGATTACCAATTTTTTCTCAATACAACTGTTCAAGAAAGGTCTTTTTTAGCGATTAAGAATCATGCGTAGTCTATTTGTTTGTCAGTTGCCCACACTGCCGCAGGCTTCAAGAAAACGGTTGCAACCAAACTGCCAAAAATATCACCAAAATTGATTTATTATAAAACCCTTCCCATAGTAATGCTTGTGAATTTGCGTCAAATGTAGTCTATTCAATACTAGCAAAGAAGCTTTTCTGCAAATTGATTTTCTTGATTTATCAAAAAATCAGCTTCCACGCCATGTTGCGTTGTTTTCTATTCCTCGGAAAACATTAACAGTCAAGTTGTAAATGAAAAGTGTGCCTCGACTTTTTGATTAACTTTCTGGTTTTTTTTTTAAATTTTCGAGAAACTTTTTAATAATGATGGAAACATCAAAGAAAGGTGTCATAAGGTTTAAATACAATGAGAAAATTAGCATATTCATCGGTCTCTCTAGAGAGATTTTGAAGTTTTGAGAAAAAAGTCTAGTACATGATGAAAACTGTGTTTTTCTCCAACAATTGTGCATCTAGCTCTGCAAAAGCAGCTGATTTAGCTTCAGAATCAAAAGAGAAGCCAAGCAGTTAATTCAATCAGAATTATACATGCATTAATTCAAAATAAGCGTCGATTCAGAAAATTTAGCTCTTCAAGGAATGGAAAAAAGAGAGAAAAACTCTGAAAAAAATCATTCAAAATAAGACAAGGTTTCCATTAGGAAAACCAGGATGTAGAATCTGAAATAATAAAAAATGCCGTGAACAAAAAGTGTATAGTTTGCAATGAAATACTCGCTCAGACACATTTTTTGCTTGAAACAAGACTTGTGTTTAGAAGTGGGGCAAATAATCAGGAAAATTTGATTTTTTCCACCGTTAAATGATTTCAAAAACGACAAACCCTAATCATTTCAAAAAGACCGGTGTTAAGTAAAAAAATCAATTTTTAATCCACTCGGAATCACTGCTTTTTTTGTTTAAAGTTAAAAATTTTTTGCGGGAATTTTGGTTATATAGCAAGGAATTAGACTGTCAAAAAGTTTTACCAAATTATTTTCTCAAAAAATGGCTTGAATTTTCTGAACAAGTTTCTGAAATGAGTAACGTTCAAAAACGAAGTTGCGTGAAACATTTCAAAGCAGTGGTTTCAATAAATTTGGTTAATTTTAGTGATGTTTCAGAAAAAGCGGTCGCAGCTGCGGCATCCTTGATTTGGCCAGTGGGTGAGTCGAAATTCAGATTAAGCTTGATGATGGCAAAACGGGGCTACAATTGAAAACTAAAAATACTCGATTGAAGCTGTTAAGAGCTTTGAGTGTTGTGTGAATGAAAGGATTTGTTTTATTGTACAAACATCTAAAAACACTTGAAGTGAAACACCGTGTTGACTCGGAAATAGTCCAGGAATTGGTAAAAACTATTCGAATGGATTCAATATCTGTAACGAATTTCGTTTCGGTGAAATACAAGCTAAAGAAGTTCCTAAATTTCTCTATTGAATAGCTGGAGAGAATACTATTGCCAATTTAGTTACACATGGTGCGTTTCCTTCGCAGCTAAAAACTGACAACGTTTGGCAGACAGGGTTGAAAAGTTTGGAACTGCCAGTCAAAAACTGGCATGTTTAACGAAAATCGGTTAGTGGTTTTGAATTGCCGGAGCTGTCGGAAACTAGAGATTTCTTGTCAAAAACTAGAGCTGTGGCTTTCAGTTTTTATCATTGTAACCGAATCAAAAGAACAGCCAATTTGAAAAGAGTAGTAGCTTTTCTGTTAATATTGAAAGAAACGCTCTCACTATAATTAATGCGACGCGAACCGGATAGTGAGATGATCTAAAGAACGTGATTTTTTTTTTAAATCAAGAAAGGGAGTTTCGTAACGAAATTGAAGACCAAAAATTCCTGAGCCTCGGTGCTGTTGAGAATAACGTCAAAAAATTGTGATTGGGCCGCGTAATAATGAGCCTGTTCTTCTTCTACGCAAACCTTAGCTAACTGATTTGATAGTTTGAGCCTTTCACATGTTTGTAAGCATCATATGCGTGTTTGTAAGCATTGTAAGCAGTTTGAGCTCCATGACGACAGGCGTGCGCTGGTCATTACCTCAGTTAAAAACAGCCTGGCAATGTCTATCGGCAAACAACTGTGGTCAGTTATAGAGCTTTGCACTGTTGTATTCAAGGCTGCTAAACTGCTTAACGAAAGACCAATCGGACACATTCCCACTCATCTTGATGATGGTTTCTCCCTATGTATGAACAATTTTTTTGTGAAGGAGAAGTTCTAATAGCTTCTTCCCTTTCATTAGTTCACCTAACCGCGAGTCATCTAATCATAGTTTGTTTGAAAACGTTTGGAATGGTTTTTGGAAAAAGTTTCAGAAGATTTATCCACCTAGATTAGCGCTCTACAAACGTTGGAAAAGAACAGATTGTTTAAAAAATTCATTGTTGTTTTGGTGAAAGATTCTAACTGAATCAGTGGTTTATGGAAATACGGTATTTTTAAAAATGTTTTTCCAGGAAGAAATGCTTTGATAATAGATGTCGAAGTGGATATAGTCATGAAAGCTGGTTCAAGAACTGTCATACATCATCCGGTTAAAAAGCTGGTTTACGTGCTCTCAGTTGAATAATTGTGAAATTCAAACTGGAGGAGGATTGTGCTGGGCTGGGGGCGGAAGTAGACAAGCGAAAAAAATTGAAACAGTGTATTAATTATTAAGGTAACGTAGATCAACCAAGTATTCAACAAACTTCATGCAATTTTTAGGGAATTTTGTGTTTTGGACTTTATAAAACTGGTGTTAAATTGTACTACATCTCTTTCAATGATATTTGATCTAGAAAAATCTGTTATTAAATTAAAAATCACACTTGAATAAGCAGCAAAGGTTATTGATTTTCTTCGGAAGAAATCACATTATCTAATCGTAATTTGAGCTTTTGTTGAGCACTTTATCAACAATAATCTTGTTAAATTTGCTCAACAGAACCAAATAACTCTGAAGAAAGATTGACAGAAACATTTGATCCAATAAGTGTATTCCCATCGGGCATAATTTTCAAATTTCAAATCTACGTGCTACTGATATCAATTTTTACTGGATTGGGTTGCTACATCGCTGCAATAACTATAGAACAAAGGGCAAGGTCTGCCGCGAAGAAAATGTTATGTAAAGCTGGCAACAGATATCAAACGTTTTTAAAAAGTACAAAGGTAGATTTTAAGAAGCACAAGGAGATGTTAAAAGGGGTTTTTGATACAAGGCTTATATTTCAGGCAAAACTGGAGCAGTACGTTTTACTTGAATGAAACAACTGTTGAAGATTTTTTTGGATAGAAGTTCTCGAAAATACGTTTTCTAAATTGTAATCTAGAAAAGAATTGTGAAAAAATAAATTTATGCAGCAGAAAAGGAAGCATCAGCCAAAGAATTAATGTTCAATTATGTTAACTGAGAAACAATTAAGAAAGCGAGATTTTTGAATAAGAAGCAATGTTTATCGATTTTCTGCATCGGGCAAAAAAATCACTTTTCTTGAGGTGCCTGAAATCTGGCGAATAAAACCAACCAACACTATAGAATTTTGTCATCCCTTCTGTGCCATGGGGTTGAATGTGGTCGGAACAATAACCATTCCAAACTGGATAAGTTATTCTTTTCTAGAAAAAGAAAATTCTAAAGAGCGCAAAATCGTTCTTAGAACTCATATCGTTGCTTTCTTTAGTTCAATTACCCGACTGCAAAACACTTAAGCTAACAAAAAATCTCTTTATTGTTTTGAAAGCTTTTTAAAGCAAAGTGTGGCCAAAAATGATCGGCATTGTGTTCAATTTAATTTTGCCCAGTTAAATTGTGAGTTCAGTTTTTTATAAATTTCTCAAAAATTTCATTGCAAGAATTGAAGGTTCTAGTAGAGCTCAGAAAATCAAACTGCAGAACTATAAAAACCGCGGACAAAAAACTTCTCACTTTTTTTTTCAAAAATATAATTTAATTTTAAAATCAATTTTTCCACAAAAGTTCTGAACGAGCCCATCTTTTCAAAAAGGGGCTAAATGAGCCCAATTGTAAGCAAAGGAGCTAAAAAAAGCCCATCTTTTAACAAGTTCGGTCCATTTTTTAGCCCCCGTTTATCCAGTATGGGGTTAAGTGAGCCGAATCTTCACTTGTTGGTCCCCAATTTGCCATGGAAGAGGACAAATGAGGCCACTTAAGATAAATTAGGCTCCCAGTTGGGCGCCATAAGGATCAATTTTTCCTCAATAACTAGGAGAAGAACCGTATTAGGAATTGGGCTCATTCAACCCCTTTTGATGGAAAATTGTATGATAAAGTTTCGACCCATGCGCTTGTGCATAGCTTATGTGTATCAAAAAACTGCAACAAAGGTGGAATTTTTCTGAATTCCAATGCACTTGAACCCATGCTCCGACCCATGCTCTTTGTAATGTGAACTTCTATGATTGACAATTAAGCTTGAGATCAATTAAGCAAAAATAAATTGATATACATGGTATATACTTTTCTATCAAATTTAGGTTCTTGAAACACTACACATTACATCAGTCGTCGTCAAATTGAGTGAACAATATCCAGATTTCTAATAACATCTGATTAACAACCTTCCTTAACTACGATTTTTCTTGGATTCTTTTGTGACGGACGCAGGGTACACCAAGTCCCCATCACTCGGACAGTTTTCAATGACGTCTCCTTTGTCACAGTCAATAGGTTGCAGGTTCAAGTCCAGGCAGATCTCTACTTGGTTTATCAGATGTAGCTTCGTGTCCTCGTCGTAAATGCACTGAAGGATGGCTTCGCTGCCAAGTTTGCCTGAGATTATTTTTTGCAAGTTGACTGCATTTTGAACTTTGGTGTTATTGGCGAATATGCCTTCGTCTTTCAGCCAATCGCCGAGCTGCGAACAAAATTTACAATTTAGAAATGAGCTTCAGTGTGGTATAATTAGTATAATTGGGCTCCTAAAAATATGGTGCCCTGAATTTTAAAAAAATCTTTCTTAAAACAACAGAACTAGTTTAACATTCAAGGTAAAAATTATTTTGTTGACAATATAGATTTTCTATGTAACCATAACAAATTGGTGGGCTAATTTGCGTACTCTTTCGAATGCACTGGGTAGTCCTCAAAATATCTCGAAAACAATTCAGAATCCTTAGCATCAGCTATTACACACATGAATTGTGAGAGAAAAATGGGAAGCTTGCAAAAACTTGAACAGAAATGAGAAAATTTCGGTACTCAGAGATTTTCATGCAGTAAACCAGAAAACACTTGCTTATTTTCATTAGTAAGTAGAATTTTTTAAACCAAACTCTAAGAAATTGTGCTAAAAACATACTCTGTTACAAAGTTTCGCGTAAATTTTTTATGATGATTCGTTTTCGCAAGGTTTTCATAAACCTAATTTTAATTGAACTAAAAAAATTCTTGGATCTTTTTTTATTTCTTATAGTTTTTGGAAACAATGCTGGTAATCTAATTAAAATATACTTTTCATCTGTTTTGAAATTGTCATTTCAATAATATTAACCTCACATTGAAACAAGAACAGTGAAAAAACTAAACTATTATAACTTAAATTCTTCCTAGACGGAAAAAATAAAATGTATTAAGATTTTCAATTCAAACAGTACATTAAAAGAATTGATTACATTATTGAGTTAACAATCTTAGTGTTATCCATAAAAATTCGAACAGTAGTTGCATAGCTTTTTTTCATTTTTCTTTGCAGGCTGAGTAGTTACACGCAGAGAATTGTTAAAATTCATACATCTTTGTGTAGCGCAATAAAATGGTATTTTGATTTTGGGATCAGGGCTTGGGAGGGGGGCGGGGGGTAGGCAGGGGTAGTGATAAGCATGGGTGTCTGAAAAAAGCATTAGATTTTCAATACAGGAAACAAAAAGTAGGACTAAAATTGCGTTTAACGTAAAAAATCACTTAATTTGTGGGGGCTTGAAAATTACACTTTTTCTGATGCTTTTAGGCTATTTGTACGACGAATTTGATTCTTTTTTCAAACTTTGAAACGAAAAAATTAACTATTGAACAGCCGATACTCAATTTATTGGCAGTAACTTTTTTGAGAAGAGATGGAGTAATTTTTGAGCTTAGATCCGGGTGGCCTTCTCATAGAGTAATTTCGGATAAGGTACACCGTCGGTTCGGGCAATTTCTTAGATAATGTAGATCTTATCATCTTAACTTCTTAGATCTTATTTTCGGCCGGATGGTTTCGGGCAACATCTTAGTCTTATATTCCATAGTCTCAATAGATCTAGTATATAGTCGTATTCTTTCGAGACTAGAGGGGACAAAGAGGCAACTGATTTCAAAGTTGAGTTTTATTTTCTCTGGCTGAAACTATGAATAGTTTCAGCTTAACAAATTTATTAAAAGATCAACATTGGTTAGTTCTCAATATTTACAGTGATAAACATCAAGAAATATAAAAAAAATTTAGTTTGAACTGGTTATACGCATCCGGAAATCAGGAGGTTTTAAAAATCAAGGTTTTTTTGTGAGGGATGGGTTTTGATTGATTGTGTCAGGGAAAAACTTGATTTTCAGATCTATGGAGAATGAGAGATTATTGTGAATCACAAAGATCGTACTGAAGTTCCAGATATTGTGCCAGCGAAGGGACGATTTCGTTATTTAGGGCGAATGTACGTGCATTCTCAACTATTCATTCAAATTGATCGAGTAGTGAGATAAGGGTCACTTTCTCTGAATAAAGCGCAAAGTGAAGAAAATCCTTATTATTGAATTTCGGTACCGAGTTGGCCATTTTTCTTTTTCCAATTAAAATCATCAATTTACTGTTTTTTACAATTAGAATTCACTGCGATCGACTAGCGATCGGCTAGCTTAAAAAAATTATAAAATTGATCGAATTTTCATTTGGTTTTCTTGAATTTCAGAAATTAGTGTTGGAGTCTGAAAAAAGTCGACAATTTAAAGTCAGATAAAACGGTCTGTAAATATTCAGAAGTAGTTGTTTAATTACAAATTCATTTTTACCTAGAATCGGTGACAGCAAAAATGCATTCCGAAAATTAGTTAACATAAATAGTGATTGTATTATAAGTTTCGCTAACATGCTAATAACGTTTCTAGTGCGAAAGAGTGGCCAAAGAAGCTCAAGTGGAATTTTGTATTCGGTTGTGTTTAGTTTTTTTGTTTTTTTTTGCAAGCAATGTCAGGCACCACAAATAATTATTGGACTGGGTTGAATGATGCATTATACTGAACCTTTTACAGTCGTATTTCAAAAACCTTATTAAATTTTCGAAAATCTTCTCCTCCCTTTCGAGAAAAACCGGTTCAGACCTTTTTGATTTTTCGTCCTATTTCGAACAAAAAACAGCGAGCGAGCAGTCTTATCTTAATTGCTTAAAAGCTTACAGAAAAATAAGTTGTAACATAAAACCTAAATGAACTTGAGTTACTTTAGTTTGCTGGTAATTTTTTAACGTATTTTCGAAATAGAATTTTTCAAATAATGAAAAAACTGCAAAACTTGAAAAAAAAGTTTTTTTTTCCTTTTCAACTAATGCTCTAGATGAAACCGTTATTCAATTTGGCTATTTTTTCTATGGCTCTCGAATATATTTACTCCGCAAATTTTTTGATGTTTTGTTTAATCACACTACGCCGAAAAAAAAACGACAATAACTTGAAAAAAAATGGTTTTTTCTTAAGAGTAGGGTCAGAACATTCTCTACCACGACCATGTTGTCTGTTTTTTAGCTGAACGAATTGGGCGAGAGTGTAGTACCCAGGCGGATTATCCGGCTCAGTCATTCATACAACATTGCCTGCCAATAGAGTGAAGTAAGCCTATGAGTGTGTAATTTGATACGCTTACTCAGCATGAAAGCATGTTCTCGAAGCCAACGAGAGCAAATAGCGTTAGCGTACAACTGCACTCTTACATTCTTTTTCTTGCGGTCGACAATTTCCCCAGTTTTAATCGATGTAAAAATTATGGATGTTGCCCAAGCAGGCGATGGTATGAGGTTAACGATTGTTACGAACGCAAATTGGTACTAACGTGAGTACTGGCCTAGCATCTTAGCAGAGTGTTGTTCCTGAAACCTCTATAGTAAATCGCCTACTGCCTAGTATATTGTAGATCACGCTCTTTACGCTTCAAACGAGGGGCTCCCAGTCAAATGCTGTTCCAATGGAGCCATTTTTTAACATTTTTCCAGTTCTTGACTCAGGCAAGTAGTTCTTTTTCCGCATCAACAAAGTTGGTACCGTTATTAGTGACCAGAGATGGCACGAACTCAAGCTGTAGAGCCCTGATAGTGACGCAAGTGAAAATAAAGTCCCATAATTTCTCAGCGCTTCTGAAACCGGAACGTAAAGCGGGTCAATTTAATCAACGCCCATATGATTAAAGAGTTGCTGCTTATATCCGAGAAGTTTGACAGGAAAATTGTATTTAAATGGCCGACTGGCACTAGCTTTGCGCTTACGAGATTTTACCTACTGATTTTCGATAGACTGAAGTAATTGGTGCGGTCCATTTTTTGCATATTCCATGTTTAAAATGGAAGCGTATATAATCTTAACCTTAATGAAATGTTTATGGTGGAGGCTTCGGGCCAGCAAACGAATTGAGGTATGACGGTCATCGAGTTAAGTTAGTTGCTTAGTGTCAAACTTAGGATCACCTAAGCGAACAACCTGGTCAATGGATTGAATGATGCCAGTGGGACAGAGGAATCAAGAGATTGTGGCGACCTTACTTTCGTTTTTGTAAAGATTGGCCAGTGATGAGTGTTTCAACTTCAACGGGGTTCGATTCCAGCTGAGCAAATTGAATTAATTTAGTAACTGCAATATCTAGTTTAGCAAGGTCAGTGATCTTTAAGTCCGTACCGCGGGAAAAATGTTCTGAATGCAGTATCCTCAACATAAACCGTACCTTGTAAAAAAAACTGAACCCTTTCCAGTTGAACCAGTGTTCGGGAGGTTTGATGCAAGCGTCACCCGTGACGATTGAAGGAAGATAAAATCTCCAAGCAACTTTTAATTTAAGTTAACTGATCACACATTGATTGGGTATGAACGTATATAATCAGCCGTCTTAAGACTGCTCAGTTCAATTACCAAGCTGCCATTTTTGAGGTTTTAAGTAGAAATCACCCGTGTACCAAAACTACCGCTCAGAAAATGGTGCCACTCATCAGTAGTTGTCGATTCGAGGACTTCCTTGACACGGCTGCCGACGAACAGGGGTAACTTGACATTGGAGTTAAGCCACCGCTAAACCGCTGTACTATTCGTCCACTTGTAGACATAGTTAATCTTAACGTTACATGCTTTCAGTTTATCATCTTTCAGTTGTGTTGCAAGCAGAGCAGCTTGAAGTTCTAGCTTAGCTACGTGAGCTTTACCAAAGATGAAGGGTATTTGAGTCTTGTGCACATACAAGACCAACGGCACAGAAAAAGTCCTGCGAGCTAACATCGAACAAGTGAAACTCAATTCGATCCACAGGATCTAAAGTTGCAGCAGCCAATAGTAAATTGCCCTGAGAACGAGAAGCCGGAGTACCAGTCGATAAATTTATCTCATGTCTTTCAGCAATTCTTCATCCCAATTTCGGCCACTTATTTTTCAAAAACTGTATAGATCTACAAACTAAACTGGTTCAAACACAGAAGAAACAAAACACAAAACTGTTCGTTAAGTTATTGCCTTATCGAAAAACAAAAAAAACGGAGCGAAATTTGAAGATGGGCGAAGAATCCTACTTGGAGGAACGTACACTTAATATTCCCGGAGACAGCGTGTGTTTTGATGGAATCTTAAAACACAATTTTTTAACTTTGATATAAGTCCGAACCTACGAAAAAGGATTTAATTAAGGATTCGCCGTGGAACTTATCAGCTTCATAGAGGATTCGGCGCGTTTCATCTTGCTTGTTCGGGCTTACGACGGTATGGTGCGGAAGAAACTCAACATTAGATCGCTTACGTGGATCATCCGTCTTGACAATCACGATATAGTCATTCACTTTTCCGTCTTCAGTTGTGTATGCGTGTTTATCGAGCATTTCAGGGTCTTTGTTTAACAGTCGTTTCAATGCTTAAAATTGGACGAGTGAATAGTATTATTTTTTTGGTATAGTGACATTAATATCAATCCAAAGCATGCACACAATGTATTTTGCGTCATCGTGAACGGTTCAAGAATTAAAGATGGATGAAAAACCTTTATCCGCGGCGAAACGGACATCGACTTGTTTGAAAGTCCCATTTTATTTCAACTCGTACCAGAGTTTTACCTGGTCAGTTAAAAAGAAACTTCAACAACACTCTGAAAACACAAAGAAGTAGAATCAACGAACGGCGGTAATGGAACAATTACGACCCAACTTATTAGTAGACGAACGGAGATAATATCTTCTCCCAAGTAGTTGTTTAGTGAGTTCCAAATAAATTCCAAAAAACGACAGTTCTTTTTGATCTTGTGCAATTGAAAATTTTTAAAATTTTCTAAAACTTTTATAAAATTATGCAGACACAGTTTGTTTTAAACGTTATTGTAAAATTATGGGATAGCTTGAAAGTAGTATTTCTTTTAGTTCAATTAATTAATTTAAAACATTTTTTGTCATCTTTTTTGTCAATCCTTTCTGGTGACTTTTTAGGTCGAACAACTAGCTTTTCTTAGCTCTTCTTGATATTTAAAAGTCTCAACTTTGGCAAAAAAAATGGTCCTTATTTTCAGCATTCAATTTTTTTCCGTTTATGGAAGGTAAGTGGCTGCCTAAATTCTTTTTTTATCTCTCCGTCATCGCGCTAACGAAAAAAAAAAGATACAGGAAAACAAGTCCAAAAAATTATTTTGTTAGTTTTTGCTAGCTTTGTGCTCGGAACAGTATGTGACACTTGCATTTTTCTTCTTCGTTTTAATAATAACTATTTTGACATTTTACGAATGCTTGAATCATTTGTTTTTTTTTCTCACAGGGTATGTCCAGTGTAGTTGAAGGGTGCTGTTGAAATAGTCGAACTCGGAGGAGACTTGTTTGGCCTCATAGGCACATGTGCCATGCTTGTCCCACTCGTGCTCCCAGAAAGAGTCCACAGTTTCGTCCATGTACAGATTGGTCCAGTAAGTCGCCAGAAGACCCTGGAAACACACAAACACGACAATTGAAAGTAACCAACACATCTGTTTTTTTTCTGAGTCGACAAACAGGTTGACGTATGTTTAAAATTAAGGGAGACCTTAATAAACTTGGATTGGACGTCCAAGTTGACTTTGTTCATATCCAGGTGCCGATCTAGATTTTTTGCGAAGGTGGTGGTGTGGGGGGATGGGTTCCGGTTCACTATCAAAAATTGGTCAAAATTTGTTTTCCGAGTTCTCCTGAAAGGCTCAAGAAACCCAGCTAAAGCTGCTGCTAAAAAACTGATTGGGAATTTTACAGGGATTTTCCTGGAAAACTTTGACAAAATATATTTTTTTGCCGTTGCTTTCGTTTAAAATTAGTGCAAAGTGGCGTAAAAGGGGCCCTTCGAACAATTAGAGGCTACTCGGTCAAAAACGTGCGCCGTAATTTCGCACGAAAAAGGTTGTTTCTCTAAGGTTTTTATGTTGATTTTCGGGTGACAAGTTAATTTAGACTTGTATATACTAAATTTTTTATTTAAATGTTAGTTTTAAGAAAAACTATGACCATAAAATCGTGATGCTCACCCATATAGAGCTAATCTCCTCATCGTTGAATTTGTAGCCATCATCACAGTAGGAAGGCCATGATCCGTCAAAGTTGCTGGGCCATAGTCCATGAATTAGCCAGCCAGTGACGTTGTCCGGGATCTCACACTTGTCACTGGATGAGGCTGTGTCACAATTGGACACTGGCCACAATTGTGTGAACACATAGTAGTCAAAGTCATCGCTACCTGCATACAAAAAAATTTCCCACAGTTTTTTTTTTATTTTTTTTTCATGTTAGGTGGTTTAATAAATCGGGCAACATATCTTGTAAACTTTTTCAGCAAATTTTTTTCAAAAAATCTTGCACGTAAAGAAAATAGTTGTCGTAGTTGAGCACACTAGGTGCCAGAAGCGTTTATCGACGGGGTAACTCGAACTTTTAAGATTCAACAAAGCCTATTATGACTATTTTTTCGCGGCTCAGCAGTTTCACACGGGTATAATGTTGCTCGTTCAAAAATATTACATTTTATGGATCATAAAAATCTAAACTAAAGTAAAAAATATCTTTGACGCTCTCCAGGTCGTATTTTTTTCAACTCGACCTTGTCTCGAAATCTTTCTTTCTTGAATAGATTTCATTGAATTTATTTTACCTTTGTGGCCGCCATGATGATGTTTGTGGTTTTTATTGTGACTCGACACCGAAAGGGATTTGGACGCTTTCAATGCTTGTTCGCTCAAAGATACCCCGAACTCGGTTTTGGTTATGAGGGACGGAGCAACATGCTTCGAAATCACTACTTGAAAAAGATAAGTTGAAGACAAAATCAGAAAAGCGAAGCTCAAATTTTGCATTAAAAAACTCATTTCTGACTAAAATCGACCTGTATTTTTTGAGAAGAGTGTTCAAAAATTGATAAATTATAAAGTGATCAATTTTTCACCAACAAGAAAGTTGAAAAGTTGGATAAAAGCTGAACAAAATGAACTATTTTTCGGAATTTATATTAACTAAACTAAGGTGTCAGGGCGGTGTTTATCATCTATCAGTTAATGTTTGCCATCTATTTTGAGATATGGCGAATGTTTTGGGGTTAAAATGACCATATTACATCTTCCGACCTCAATTAAAGGTCAAAGACCTAATTGTTCTAGAACTATTTACCAGAACAAGTAATAGGCGATTGAATGGTTTGTTTTATTCATAAACATCAAACGCCAACGTAATGCACTCTATCACTTTGAGTGACAAATACTGATTTGTCCAAAGATTTTAGTCCAATTACCGAAGATAACACATCTTAAATGCTTCCGGTCATTGATTTTCCAGATCTCCTTGCTAGTCATAATCTGTCGGCTGATATAACATGGAGCCATAAATCAGCTTTCAATTGTTTCAGTTGTCTTATGTGTCATTATGGCTGGATGCGTGATTTTACGATGAAAGCTATCAAAAAAAATGTGTTCACAATATTTAGTTCGTTCGCCATGCAAATTTTCATTTATTTATGACAAAGTTAATTAATTTTTCAAAACTGGAGTTCAAATGTGGGGGGGGGGGGGGGGGGGGGGTGTAAAAGTCCGGACGCTGATCACTGAATGAACACTGATCGGAGGCGTTAGTTTTAGGTGCTACGTTACGTAACTGAAAAAACATAAATTAGGGAACCTAGTTAGACCAAATATGTTCAGGTTTCCAAATTGAATTGGATTTCTGCTGTTCTGCTATTATGGCTTTCTGCTATTTGGGAGGTTTAAGAAATTATTGTACGCAACCTCAACTCCCCCCCAACCCACTTCAACCTCCAATTTTTACAGTGTAACGAGGCATTTCACAAGTTAAGGTTTAAAGACCAAACAATCTTTTTGGTCAAAAGCTAATTGGTGCACATGCCAATTTTGTAACAAGGTGTAACAATCCCGGGATGACCAAAAATACTAGTCATACAATTTCCGTATATGGAAAAATGCTAGTCATACACTTTCCATACAATTCCATACGTACAGAAAATTGTATGAAGTCTCTATGATAAGCTTTTTTCCATATATGGAAATTGTATGACCAGCATTTTTCCATAAACCAAAAATATTGATTTCTTACATTTTAATTTCTCAAAATTTTTTGGTTGTGTTCGTAACCAAACACAAATGACATAAGCCTTGATTACTCAAACGTAGTAACCAACGGTTTAGCAGTCTCGCATTAAAAATGCATTGGAAACAGCCTGATATGTGTTACTTCTGTAATGAACTTTTAAATTTTGGCAATAATTTTCAAAGATGATTATTTCTAATATTAGTATATCCAGGACTACGTTATACACACAAAAAATTAAATTTTGCATGCAAAATTTTTTTTTTTCAAAAAATGTTTGTTCGAATACGCGGTTGAAAAAAAACACAAAAAATTTTTGGGGGCAATTTTAAAAATACTTTTTGTCGTCGCCATCAAAAAAATGCTAGTCATACAATTTCCATATATGGAAATCGTATGACAAGTGTTTTTTTTTCAGAAAACAAAAATAAAAAAAGTCAAAGTTTTTAGTCGTAGCAGCCCAAAAAACGCTTAACTGTTTTGCCAGCAGTTGAAATGATTGTTCAAAGCTTTTTTTTTCACAAAAAAATTTTTAAAAAAATTTCTAATCATACAATTTCCATATATTAGCATTTTTTTCATACCATTTTTTTCCTTTTTTTCATGAAGAGATACCAATTTCGATACCAAAACAACTATAGTATACCTTTGAAATTCGATTAAACTCATTTTGCAAAATAAATGAAACTTGTATGACTAGCATTTTTCCATAGACTAAGTGTATGAAATTGTATGATTAGCATTTTTGGTCTATGGAGGTCAACCCGGGATAAAACGAGGTGATCAAAAAATTACTTTGCAAGCGGGGAGAAGGAAAAAGAGCCGCTTGTATCATTAGCGTATGTTGAGATGATTTAAAAAAAAACATTTTTTTTTTTAATTTTAACAGTTTTCTTCAGAAAAATTTCAAATTTTTAGCTTGAAGAACTTGACGGAGTTTTTGCATCGTTATTTTGAGCACAGCATTGAAGTTTAATTCACCTGCGATCGTTTTTTGTAAGATAATGGAGATTTAAAAATTGCCAATGTTGCAAAATTGTAACATTTAACGCGCGATATATTCAATAATATTAACGGGTAGGCGGAGATTTAATAAGTATAAGAAATTTTTTCAATCTGAGGCATTGTATATGATCTATTTAATACGTTGTCTTACGCGAAATAGACTTTCGAAATAGAGCGTTTGGGGGGATGTTTATTACGAAAACTTAAAATAAGTATTTAATTTTTTCCCCGAAATTTTGATCAATTTGTTCTAATTTCAAATAGAAACAGAAACATGAATTATTTTATTGAACTCACAAAGTGTGACGCCGCCGCCACCACAAAATAAATATGTTTTTAATCCCTTGCAAAATGAAGGGAAATGCTATTGGAATAATTCGTATAACGTTTTAAGCATTGAGAATTGAAACGACTATTCTCGTTCAATGCGAATAATAACGATTCCTCTCGTAAAATACGAGCATACGAAACATTCTTCTCGTAAAAAACGAAAGTACGAATAAAAAATACGAAATTAAGAAGTAATTTCTCATTTGATACGAAAAATGGTACGATTTCCCATCTGAGTATAAATGGAAGCTCAAAACTACGGAATTCATTCCCAACAATATCTCTTCTAACACCAACACCACTCTCTTCAACCACCCCAACCATTCTCTAAAATAATATCCATTCTCAGTAAAAATGTGTCTAATCTCACCGTTAAAATAGATATTGAGTCAAAAGCCAATTTCAGTAAATTCATACTAACTTCTTTTCTAATAAAATTTTTCTCAGCGAATTTTAGATTTTCTTTCTAAGCTAGAAAGTAGAAAGGACCCTTTATTCCTAGCAAGCGTTTTGTCCGACGTGTATAGTTTTGCTAGCGTAATAAATTTACGCTTATATCAGGCAGTTTGAATTATTATTCATTGAAAACCAACATGATCTTCTATGTATCAATGAATATAATGATGACTATACTAAGATTCCAAAAATTTGCTTACCTATCTCCCTAGTACTAAACTGCTTTGAGTTAGCTCATAAGTATCCTCTTAACGGTCATCACGGTGAAACAAAAACTTTGGAAATAATCAAAAGATTTTTCTATTGGCCCGGACTCTATAAATGGGTCAACATGCTTCTTCATGATTGCCTAGAATGTCAAAAAAATAAGCCTAAACGGAAAGACCTGAATGAAGCTCCCTTACAATAATGGGGACAATTAGAAACAACCCCGATGAAAACGATCCACATTGACCATGAAGGTCCACTCAGACCATCAAGTCACGGCAAAACTTTTGCTTAGTTGTGATAGATGCCTTCTCTAGAGATCTTCAAGTATATCCATGCACCCATGCAGACTCTAAGGAAACAGTTAAGCTCTTAGAGAAATACATCACAACATTTGGTATTCCACAACAAAATATTCATGATGATGGCAGTGCATTCATGAGTAATGACTTTGCTCATTGGTCCTCTGAATTGGGAATAACCCTGAAACCAAGAACTACATACTCGCCTTGGACTAACGGAAAAGTCGAAGTCCAGAATAAACATTTAACCCAGTACTTTCGACATTTCTCGAGTACCTCAGGCTCAAACTGGTCTGAGTTAACAAATAAGTTTGCTTTTGCACATAACACCGCCAATAATTCAAGTACAGGTTACACTCCATATGAGATTGTCTTTGGCATAAAACCTCAGGTTCCCCTTAGCCTTAAATTAGGCCTCTACCGCGACCAAAACAAAATCTGTACCTCTGAATTTTGCGCTGTTCTCGAAAATCATGCTGATACCGAGCATAAGTCAAACAATGAGACCATAGATAGATTTCTAAAAAATCAAATTTCCGCCAAAATACTGAAAGGGAAAACGAGTTTAAGTTGATTTATAGTAATACCTATACCCATTGCCGCCGCATCACTAATAAGGCCCACACGTTCCGAAATCAATTTAAATTAGGACGGCCAATAAAAGAAGGCACAAAATGTTACTAGAATATAGATCCAAACCACTATTGAAATCACAAAAGCTTTTGAGTTTAAGATCTGGACCTTATACCGTAATTGAAAAAATCACGGAAGTTACGTACGGAATTCAAAATGATTTCACTAAAGAGAAAAAGATTGTCCACCGCAATCATATTGTTGAATACTTTCCTAAAGAACAACAAACTCCCAAACTACTACAAGAGTACTCTAGTGATTTATTTTCAAGTGATTTTTATGATCATATAACAAATCAACAAATCAACTCTTTCAATAAAACTAAGCAGGTTGAAAATCTACAATACCAGTTTCTGCCAGTAGTCAACATTGGTTTCCAGCAAATGACTGATCATAACCCTACAAATGAGGATCAAAATAAAACCATTGTACATGAACAATCATTGGATTCAGAAAGAGAAACCATGCATCTAAGAACTTTGTTCGATGCAACTCCGATTGACCAGAATCTTAGACCTATTCGAAGTTCAACTCCCTTTTCTGTTGATAAAACCCCTAATCCTTCTACTAGTCAATCTAGTAGTTATGGCCACCGCCGCCTACCTAGCCGCAGTATAAGTCCTAATACTAGTCTCGCAAATGACTTTGGCCGCCGCCACCAAAATATATTAACACAATATAATACTCCCCGTCCTCCTGATTTCCCTCGTTTATCTGAATCATCAGAAAGCTTTACTGATGGAAAAAATATCCCTCATAGCTCCCAGGAAAGCTTCTATGAGAACACTCGATCCGCACCTGGATCACTTTCCGAATCCAAAAGACCTAAGCGGACAAATCGTCCTGCAAACTTCTATGGAACTACAATTCCATCTAGTAAAATTGGCAAATTTAAAAAGAAATAATAAACAGCAACTATTTATTTGGCCAAAACTAAAATTTGTTTAACATTCTTTTTTACTGGCCTTTTCTTTTCTCTTTTGTTTGTAAAACAAACCACAAAAACACCAAAAATAAACATATATACAAACAGATTTTAAAATAGTTTTTGTAAAGGTTAGACTTTATATCCGTAAAGGATTTGATCAGTTTAACAGCCGCCATCTTCTCAAGAGAATTTTTAGCGG